CAGCCGTTTCTGAGAAATTGTCTAGGTTTGGAGTTACTCCCAGAACTCTGATTTAGCAGTTCCTACGCTTCCAGAAAGTCTGAAGGGAACACAAATCTGTTTTGTATATACAAATAAATCCTCGCACGCTGCATGCCATTCTCAGCCTGCCAGTTTCATCTGACTGCTCCAGAAAATATAATTCAATAGCACATTAGTTAACCTGCACACAGGGAATGGGCCATTCCGATTATTGAAATGTTCTGGTTGAGTGATTAACGTGATTCTAGCAGAAAAACTGCCGAGGCAAGGAATTTTCTGTCTAGGAGGCTGTGGCCCCGGATTTCTCACTTCCGGTTGATCACAGCTATATTGCTTCGCCGAGAAACAGATCGCTTTGCTAAAAAGAAAAACAAAACAAAAACCCCTTTCAAATAGGCAACGGATCTACTCTCAGAGTGACCTCATAAAAATAGATTGATTACTGGATCACTGGAAACTTTGGCAAAGAAAGCAAACTTGGAAGAAAAATGGAACTATTTGTCTAAATTTTATAGTCTTGTAACCTTCAGGAAATCCCTGATTTTATTATCTTTTGTAATAAACATTTCTAAAGATGTCAGACAGGGAGGTCCGGTGGCATCATCTGTGATGAGCTGTGTTGCTAATTCTTTTCTTTTTTTAATTTTCTTTTTATTTCATTATTTTTTGTTTGTACCATCAAATCAGATCTAATTGATACAGGAGGAAACTGTTCCTCCTTCTCCAGCAGAGCATCTGGTGGATTCAAACCGTGTACCTCTGAGATTGCAGTGTAGCTTCTTGACACTAGACCACCAGAGCTAGCCAATTGTGTTGCTAATTCTATAGCTGTGACTTTGTGGGTGGTCTAAGCCCACCAGCAATTCCCTCTGTTGTTGTTGTTAGGTGCCATTGAGTCAACTCAACTCATAGTTACCCCGTGAACCAGGGGATCTAAACACTGCTCTGTCCTATGCCGTTCTTACTGTCTGTCTCAGAGAGACAGAAAATAACGCAGAATAAGAGCTCTTCCTTATGATTCTCTGTTGCAGTTATTTAATTGCTTCTCTCAGAGTATTTTTTGTTAGTCTCAGAAATCTTATTGGCCGGTTTCGTTGATTATTACTGCACTATTTACTGTTGTTGATTCTGGTTGTAAGCTGTCAGCTTGGCACTTGGGCCATTGAAATCCTAGCACAATGGAGTAAAGGCTAGTGGATCCTGTGCAGGCCTCATGAGGAGTGTGCAGCTCCGACCTTGGCAGTTAGTGAGATTTGCAGAAATAGATCGCCAGTCCTTTTGCCTTGTTCGTGTTGTTGTTAAGTGCTGTTGAGTTGTAGGCGATTCATACCAACTCTATGAACGAAAGACCTGGACACTTGCATAACTTTCCTCTTGTCTCCAAGTTCATAGGGTTTCCAGAGGCAAACTATTTCAGAAGTGGATGCCACTCCTGTTTGTTTTAACCAGTGAGTGCCACCAAACACTGTCCACCATGGGTAACCATTATGTCATTTGACACAACAGTGTCACCGTGTTCAGCTTCACAGCAACCACTGGTTACATCTGTACGACAAGTGGACAGACCAAGGTGATATGACCTAGAAGAATGTTTGACTAAAAACAATTAAAAACAAGTCCGAGGGCTATGGAGTAAAGTCACCCACCTTTGGCTTGGTAGCATCACTTTCTATCCACTAAGCCAACTGATCTCTCTATGATGTGTTGTTGTTAAGTGCTGTCAGGTCATAGGCAACTCATAGTGACCCTATGAATGAAAGACCTGGACACTTGTATAACTTTCATTCTTTCTCCAGGTTTTTAAATCAGTGTCTGGTAATGAACTAGCTGCTATGTAAAGAAACAGATTTTAAGGGCATGTCCTAAGTTGAGGAATGTAATCTTTTTATTGGAGAAACCAGAACAACAAATATGAAATAGTTATCAACGTGAGAAAGCATGAGGTCAGGTAGAGAGTACAGAAGACAAGAAACAATTCTGGTTCCTCTCCCTCTTCCCATGTGGACAGAACTCATGTTTATTGGTGGCTTTGGGAAAATCACAGCTGATTTTACAGTAGTTTTTGTGATCTAGCTTCAGAGGTGAATCAGGATTTAGACTTAAGAGAGTGAGGAATGTGTGTAAACTCCATACAGCCAACAGATTTTAAGGAGTTCTAGCTCAATCTTAAGAAAACAAAGATTCTCACCACTGTGCTGATTGGCAACACCATGATGTATGGGGAAGGGATTAAAGTTTTTAACAATTACAGCTTGCTCTGCTCCACAATCAACGTTCTTGACACCAGCAGTTAGGAAATCAAAAGTTGCTATGCATTGGGGAAATTGTGCTACCTACCTGGGACCTACCTATCCAGAGTACTGAGGAGCAACAATGTCAGTCTAGAGACTAAGGTGTGCCTGATCCAGGCCATGGTCTTTGCAATCACTTGCTGTGTATCAGAGAGCTGGACAATAACTAAGAATGACAGAAGAATTGATGCCTTTGAGTTGTGGTGCTGGAGAAGAGCATTGAACATATGGACCACCAAGAGAACAAACAGGTCTAACCTGGAGAGGGTGAAAGCAAGTTGCTCCTTGGATTTTGAAGCTCCGTCTCACAAATTTTGAGCATGTTGTCATGAGGGACCAGGCAGTGAGATTGGCTTAGCATAGGGCAGGGTTCAGAGCTGCCGTGCATAGCTGGGAGTCATAGGCCACTCAGCAGCACATAACAGCAACAAGAACAGTAGTAGTAATAGATCTCTGGTAGTGTATCCTGTAGGGAGTTGAGCTACTCTTCTCTGAGAGTTGAAATCCACCAACAACTCCATGGGAGAAAGATGGACAGTCACCTCCTGTGCAGTCTACAGTCTTGGAAACTGAATGGAAGATCAGCTCTGTTTTTCTGTTTTGATTCAGCAGCTATGAGAGAGAGAGGGGAGGGACGCAGGAAGAAAGGGAGAAAAGAAGTGGGGGGGAGAGAAACAGTGAGAGTGGATTTACTGGTAAATTGTTGTTGCTGGTGTTGACTTCTTGTGTGCAGAGTAGAATTTATGCTCCATAGCATCTGCAATAGAGCCACCTTTTGGAATCAGATTCTTGGGCCTTTGTTCTGAAGTCCTTCTGGATGAATTTGAACTGCCAAGTGGTAAGACCGTGAATAAGGAGTGTGTTTGTTTATATGCATGTGGGTATGAGTGAGAGTGAGACAGAAAAAGGAATAGAGAGATGTAGGAAGAGAAGAGAATAAGTTCACAAGGTCTTAAACATTGAGTTTTACGTTTTCAATTGTCCAGCAAATAGTGAATATTGGATTCCTGACTTTCTGTACCTCACTTCACTATACTTTACAGCAAGTTGTAATTGTTTTCAGACTGGTTTTTCTTTTAACACTTAAGAAAAAGCCCATAAACAAACACTGGGGGTGGGGGGGGATCTAGTTTCACTTTCAAATGTGTTTTGTGTTGGGGTCTGGAAAATATGTCAAACTTTGGAATGAGATAAAACAGGGATAACAAAGATCAAATTTTCTCAACTATATCCTGCTCAGAAGCCAAAAAAGAACAGAAAACTACTAATTCCTTTGGCCATAAATAAACAAAAATGTTTAAAGAATGAGGAAATAAGAGAGCTAATAAATATGAACATTTTCTTTATTTAGGGAGGTTTCATTGAGGTGTTATTTTTGTTATTAGCTATAGCATGAAGGTTGGTGGCCTACTGGTAAGAAGTTGTGCTGTCAACCCAAGACATGTGGTTTGAATCCACCAGCTGCTTTACAGGAGAAGGATGGGCAATTGCCATCTTGATGACTTACTGCCTCTGAAAACCCACTTGGAGGGTCAGCTAGGAGTTGATTCCCACTTGATGGTACACAGCATAGAATGAAAGTGCAGATTTTACACCTAGCGTATCACTGTATAGTCATATAGGAGCCCTGGTAACATAGTATGTGTGGGTTGTACTATCAATTAAAAGGCCAGAAGTTTTAATCCTTCTGTTACCCCCAAGGAGAAAGCTAGGTAATCCCCTCCTACTAAGATTTACAGCCTCAGAAAACTAGTGATGGGTCTCTATGAGTCAAATAAATGTAAACGCAGTGGATTTGTGTGGGGGTTTTTGTTTTATAGTTATAATAAAATTATTAATTTCTGAATTTGGATTTTCCTTTATTTATATATTTCATACAACCATGATAAAAATAATAACATTTTGGGGAACTATTCTTATATTCCTTTTTTTTAATTTAACTATGTTAAAATATTTGTAGCATAAAAGTTTCCAGTTTAACCATGATTACTGGTAAAACTTAGTGAGAATAATTATATTTATAATGTTGCAAAACAATCACTGATATCTATTCCTAAAACCTCATCACTCCAAACAGAAATTTTCTTTCTCTTACCATCTGCAGTGTCAATTCAATGGGAGAAGATTGTCCATCTTCCTCCCTCAGAGCTGACATTGGATTTGAACTGCCAGAGAAGTCCAGCCGTTGGCTTAATGGAATGACTCCTTTCAGACTATGCCGCCAGGGTGCCCTTCCTGAATCTCAGTACCTTCTGACAATACCTCACCAGTCCTCCTCTACCCCAGCTCCTGGGAACCACTACTTTCAGTTTTATGCCTTGCATGTTGTTGTTGTTGTTAGGTGCCTTCAAGTCATAGACTAGACGACTTATAGCGACCCTATGAACAAACGGCCTGAGCACTGTTTGTACATAGAGTTTCCGGAGGCAAGCCATTTCAGAAGTGGAAAACGCTCCTGCTTCCAGGCTTGTTTTAGTCGGGAAGCTACAGCAAACACTGTCCACGATGGGTGACCACTATCATATTTGGCACATCGGTGTCACCGTGTTCAGCATCACAGCAACCACAAGTTACCTCTGTACAGCAGTGCACAGACCAGTGCTATAGTTAACTTTTAAAAATAATATTTTTAAGCTGACCAAAGAAGCATATTTCTAATTTTACATATATTTTTGTCTTTGCTGGTAGATGACATTTGATCCTGAAATCTTCTTCAATGTTTTACTGCCACCAATTATATTTCACGCAGGATACAGCCTCAAAAAGGTAAATCTATAATGATCAATTTCTTCTTATATCATTAAGTGGAGACTTGTACAACTAAATAGTAATGTTATGGGCTAACTTTGTAAGGATATAATTACCTGTAATTATGTGATATGAATTGAAATCTGACTCTGTCCAATACACGCACACTTGCTGCCTGTGATTATTGAGCCTTGGCACGTGAGCTAGTATGAATCAAGGTGTGCTTTCTAGTGTGAAATACACATTGGCTTTTAGAGACAGAGAATTTTAAAAACAAAATGTAAGAGAGCTCAATGTTTTATACTGATTTCACCTTGTAATACAGTATTTGGGACAAACTAGGTGAAGTAAAACATATTATTAGGTTTCATTTAACTCATTTTTGTCCCTTTTTAACGTAGCTGCTGGAAAAAAAATAAATGTCATATGTCCCACATTATATATATTTCTATATTTCGTGCTCTCCAATGTGATTATAACCGAAGTTTTTTTTCTGTTAATTAAAGTTGAGCTCATTCAGCTGAATAAGAACACAAATAAGCTTTTAGAATAATCTTGAAACTCTTTAGTTTTGCAGTTTCTATCCACTTGTCTAATCTGACTTCTGGATAGTGTGAATGTGTACGTGATAGGCCAGTCATTCCCATCATAGTTTGAATGCCTGCATCACTGACCTGTCAGATTTCAGCTACAATGGTTGGGCGATTGCTCTCCTGTCCTCCTGCCTGGGAGACGCCCAGCGCTCTGCTCCACGCGCCAGCCACCACCTGCATGCAGACAGTTTGCTGTAACAGAGCTGCTTTCCTCGTTCTGCAGGCTCCCCCTTGCTGTCAGATCTGACTGCTCACATCCGCCTTCAACAGCTTTCAGGGACTTTGCCAAACTAGCATTTGGAAATATTTAAAGGCTGGATTTATTCAGGTCATCCCTTTTCATTCCCCTGCTCCTAAGCTGAGCATCGTCCTGGGTCTGAGTACAGAAAACAAAGTTAAACTGTCGTAGGTTGCAAAGTCACGTTCATCACTTTCAGAAGGCATACGAATCAGTGATTCCGTAAAAGTGAAAAGGCAATTTAAATCTTTTAGTGAAGTGTTTTGAGAAATACTGTAAAGCTCTCATGTAGGACAAAACTTGATGAAAACCACGTTGTCCACTAATCGTCCCTGTATTAATTTCCTGCCTGGGACGTGCCCCAGTCCCGCCTCTTGTGTGCTCCAATCCTGCCAGTCCTGCCTCTCAGTTTGCTCATCCTTCCAGATGTATTTCTTTTTCCTGTTTCTTTGAGCAACCTCTGTTCCTCGCAGTACGAAACAGGCAAATTTCTATCAGCACAGTAAGACCAAGATTGAGCTTCTGAAAGCTGTGAGGGAGAAAGGAGGTACATTGTTTTTTATATCTTGTTACACTAAAAAAAAAATGCTGATGCACTGTAACCTTTTTTTTTTTCCTCACCAGAAACACTTTTTCCAAAACCTAGGATCTATTTTAACATACGCCTTCTTGGGAACTGCCATCTCCTGTATTGCCATAGGGTAAGTGGCATGTTTAGCTCAAGTTTCAGATAGTGTTAGGATCAATTGTCTGTGGGAGGAGTTACATACTTTCAGATTTACACCCTGGCCGTATGAATTGTCTATTCTTCCCAATGTCACCTCTTTGTGTGTTTTTCTGACTCCATTCCTAAGCTTCCATGTTTTCTGACAGCCACAAAGTTTCAAATCAAAGCAAACTGAAACGGAATAGCTGGATTTGCTATTCAGAATTTTGGATTTCTGATTCAGGGAATCTGGATAACTTGGCTTGAGTTATGCAAAATATACTACATTCTTTTCTTTGGCTTGAACAATGAATGCAGATAAGCTCACTGCATTCTTTGTTCCATCTTCTTCACAGAACCCTATGTGTATTTGACAAGAGTCCAATAGTAACCATGTGTCAGGGGGTTTGTTCTGAAGCAACGTTTACCAGAGAACAGTTAGAAACATACATCTCCAAATATCATCTGCGTCACTTCATGGCTTTATGGTCAACGCACTGTAGAATGTAGACTTTCCCCCTTAGTACATTTTATTAGTTATACTGCTGAGCTCAAATTAATGACAGACTCTGTGGTTTGTGGCTTATCATAAAGCTAAATGTGGAACAAAACAATGAAATCAATCCAATTCAGATTTAATCTATCCAATATATTTAAGCTCCATTGCAGGAGAAAAAAAGCCCATCTTTTAGACCTAGGATAGAGTAAATATCTGAAATCATCTAATTCAGCCAACTATGCCCTTGATTGTGACTGCGTGCAGCTTTGATTTTTAACCCTGAGACAAGCAACGCTAAAATGCACCCAATATTCTCTCATGCAGCCCTTCGCTTATGAAGTGTTTCGTGTGTCATTGAAAAGCTAAAGCAGTGCCTGGAGGTATCTTTATTTGGACTCGCAAACAGAATTTTCTGTTGCTTAAAATTGTAAGCAATTAAAGTTACATTATATGAATGTCAGATGACTCAACAGCACAATATGTCTAATGTTTTCAGTGTATACATTTATATAATTAAAATGTCCAGCTTGGTGAAGGTGAAGAGGTAGTTAAGGTTTTAACACCTGAAATTGGAGAAAGACATGTGGTGATATAGATTGAAGCCTCATCAGGTCTGAACACCAGCTGCCTTTAAACTGTGACCTGAGTCCCAGAGTACTTGATTCTCCTCAAAACATGTTTTTCGGGTCTGGAGAGCATTATGCTAAGTGAATTAGCTCAGTCCCATAAAGACAAATACTGTATGAGACCATTACTGAATGGGTACGAGAAGCCAAGGAGGGGAGCGGAGGAGCAAAGAGGGGGTGAGGAGGGTCGGGGGGGGGGGAAATCATAGGGTCGCACAATCTGATGGGTAGTGGGCGGGGTGGGTAAAGGAAATGGGAAAGATCCAGTGTGAAAACCAATGCATATGAACTTTGTAAGTAAACCAGTATAAAGTAAAAAAAACCCCAATTTTTATTTAAAACAATTATCTGCCCCCCTCCAAAAAAAACACCCACCCATTTTGGGGGAGAGCTTTTCTGCTCTGTGGGTATGCCGTAACAAAGTACTCAAATTTCAGAACTGGCAAGGACCTCTGAGATTTATCTATGGAAATCCCTTTATTCTGTGGATAAGGAAAGATACTTCATTAACGGCTAATTAATTTATTGAAGTTCGTTCAGGTCTTCATTTCATTCGCTTCAGCATTTCACTATAGCATATCTCACTTCCGTACCTTCTTCTTTTGACAATTCTTTTGAAGTCATTCCTGTACATTAAAGGATGGCTTTGACATGTCTGGACTGGTAAGTGTTAACTAACTTACAGCAGAGATTTATTTAAAAAGTGAGATTCAAGCTGGATTTAAGTCTAATTCAGAGAGAATGTGGAATGAGGGATATAATTGCTGATATCAGATGAGTTCTCTGTTGAAAACTGGGAATGCCAAAAGATGTTGACCTGTATTTTATGTAGCAAAGACATTTGACTCTGTAGAGAAAAACAAATTATGGGTAACATTGTAAAGGTTGAGAATAACACTGAGTTGAGATTCTGTAGAATCTCTACAGAGGCCAAGAGGGAGTCATTCACATAGGAGAAAGGGCGGCTGGTTTAAATTCAGGAAAGGTATGCATCAGGATTATGTCCTTTCACCATACCTATTCAAAAGGTTTTATTGAATAAACAATATGAGACACTAGACTGTAGAAAAAAAATTAGATGGAGGATGGTTCATAAACAACCTGACACCTTTGCTTACTGAAAGTGGAAAGGAAGTATGGGTTACACCTCAGAGGAGGTGTTTAGATTACAACATAAAGAAAACAAAATCCTCAGAATTTGATCAATAAAGACACCATGATGATCAGAGAAAAACTGGAAATTGCCAGGGATTTCATCATTTGAATCTATGTTTGATGCCCCATTGAAGACAAATGGCATACGCATTTGGTAGATCTACTGCGAAGAAACTCTTTCAATCTAAAGAGCATAGATGTCTATGCAGAGGACTAGGAAGCACCTGCCCCAAGCCATGGTCTTTGCAATCTTCTTATATGCCTGTGAAAGCGAGATAATGAAGAAGAAAGACAGAAGAAGAATCAGTGCCTTTGAAGTCTGGTATTGGTGAAGAGTGTTCAATTGCCACGAGAGTGAGTAATCTACCTTAGAAGAAATTCAGTCACAATGCTTCTTAGAAGCGAGAGTGAGAAAAGTCCATCGCACGTGCTTTGGGCACATCAGTGGTAGGGACCAGTCCCTGGGGAAGGAAATCATGCTTGGTAACGTAAAGGGGGAGGAAACAAAATTGAGGAGAACTCACAAGGATCAACACAGTGGTGAGAGGCTGGCACAGGGTCAGCCAGGGGTTGGTTTTATCATATGTGAGCTCACTGTCAGGTGCAGCTGACTCGACAGCACGTAAAAATAACAATGTGCTGTAGGAAATATGAAAATTTGAATATGTCTAAATCCTGAAATCCAGTACAATGCTGTCTAAATAGAGCGATTGCTTTCCTAATTACTAACCTATTTCCTTTGTATGAATCATTATACAATTTTTTATATCCTTAAAAGGGTTTATTGTATTACATGTTTTTACCATCATGGCAAATGTAAACTCCTTCTTGGATGTTTCACTATTCTATAAACACATCTGCATCTATGTATTTCTCTATTTCTCAATCCTCTATAACATAAGAGTGTATGTTGATGTGTACATATATATGGTATATATAATTGACATACATTAAAACAAATTGTTTGAGAAATATGGTGATTTTTATTTGGCATATTTAAGCAAACAGATGCTGCCCTGCATGTGCTCACCAAGTTATGCCAAGAAATCTGGAGGACAGCTACTTGGCCAATAACTGGAAAAGATGCATATTTATTCCCATTACAATAAAAGGTTATCCAACAGAGTGTGGAAATTATTGAACAATATCACTAATATCACACACTAACAAAATCCTGCTAAAGATTATCCAGAAAAGACTTGAACAGTACATTGACAGAGAACTACTAGAAATACAAGCTGGGTTTAGAAGAGGTCGTGGCACTAGAAATATTATTGCCAATGTCAGATGGATCTTGGCAGAGAGCAGAGACTACCAGAAGAATATCTATCTCTGTTTCATTGACTATGCAAAGGCATTTGACTGTGTGGATCACAATAAATTGTGGCTAACCTTGAGGAAAATGGGAATCTCAGAACACTTAATCGTACTTATATGAAACCAGTACTTGGACCAAGAAGAAGTTCTCAGAACAGAGCAAGGAAACACATGTTCAAACATGGTTTAAAAAAAAAAAGGAGTGCATCAGGGATGCATTCTGTCCCCATACCTTTTCAATCTGTATACAGAACAGATCATTCACAAAGCAAGACTTTATGAGGAGGAGTGTGGTATCAAGACTGGAGGAAGACTCATTAACAACCTACAATATGCAGATGATACAACCTTGCTCAATGAAAATGAAGAAAATTTGAAGCACTTGCTGCAAAATGTCAAGGACTGTAGTCTTTAATATGGACTGAAGCTCAACATCAAGAAGACTAAGATACTCACCACTGGGTCAACTGGCAGCACCATGATAGATGGAAAAGAGGTTGAGGTTGTTAACAATTACAGCTTGCTCAGATCCACAATCAACACTCTTAACACCAGCAGTCAGGAAATCAAAAGATGAATTTCATTGGGGAAATCTACTGTCGTGGACCTCTCCGGTGTGCTGAAGAGCAACGATGTCAGCCTAGATACAAAGGTGCACCTAATCCAGGCCATGGTCTTCTCAGTTACTTGTTTTGCTTAAGAGAGCTGGACAATAAATGACTAAAGATGACATAACAAGAATCAATTCTTTTGAGTTATGATGCTGGAGAAGAGTCTTGAACATACCATGGAGTGCCAAGAAAACAAATAGGTCTGTCTTGGAGAAGGTGAAACCAAGTCTCACCTTGAAGGCTAGCACTTTGAAGCTCTACCTCACTTTCTTTGGGCACGTGACCAAGAGAGATTGGTCCTTGGAGAAGGACATGCTCAGAAGGGTGGATGGACACGTGCAAGAAAGGAAGAGCTCAAATGAGATGCATTGATACAGTGACTGGGACAATGGGGGTTGATGTGTCAGAATTATTAGTGAGACGGCCTCAGGACAGAGATGCTGTACTTCAGGGTCACTATACATTGCAGGCGACTCAATGGCACAATAACAACATTAACATACTATGACTGGTTTGGGAGTAGGAGTGGCATCCACTTCCTAACAAACATGCCTCCAGAAACTCTATGAACTTTGATAAATGTCAGTAATTGTAGCGGGGCTTCAGGCCCTTTGTTCATAGGGTCGCTATGAGTCGTGCTCCACTCAAAGGCAGTCAACAAGAACAACAAAAACAGAGTAAGAATATTTTAGTTGTCTATAAAAGTGCAATCAAGAATTTACAAAGCAAAATGTTTTGAAGAAAAAGTGAAGTTCTGGGTAAGTATGAAGAACAGAATAGGGCTTCT